AGGTAAATTTCTTATATATCTTGTAAATAAGTGCATATTGACACTTACAAAAAAAATTAAACTTGCATAAAATCCATGGATAAGATAATAAAAGAATAATAAAATGCAAAAAGAGTATCCAACAAGTCCAAAATTTAAAAACATATTAAGCATATATGTCATATAACCATAGTGAGAAGTATTGTAGGATGACACATGTACAATAGGTTCACAATTTAAAACCACATAAAATGCAAAATAGGACGAAAATAAGGAAATATAGTAATGTAGACAGGATATATATTTTTTTAATTTAAAAAAAATAAAAAATAAAACCTCCTAGCCGCCTAAAGCCCAACCGATTTTCCAACCAATTTGCAAGAAAACGTCTCGGGTCACCACCGCTCAGCGCCGCCTAGGCCCTTTTTTAGAACATTGCTTTCAACCATATTCCAATCTTTCTCTCAAAGTTTCAATCCAATTGGTTTCCAACAAAATGACTAATGATGCAGTTACGAATTGGACGCTTATTGAAGATGTTATGTTGTGTTATAGTTGGGTTGAAATTACTCATGATCCAATTACGGGTAATGAGATGCAATTGCAAGAAATGTGGAGTCTTATTCATACCAATTATCTTGAGAAAATTGGTGGGAAAAGAACCAAAAAATCAATGTGTCACATCCCGGCCCGGAGGGCACCACTTCCCGGCCCCGATCCACCATCGTAGCACGATATTGTCTGCTTTGGGCCCCGACCACGCCCTCACGGTTTTGTTTTTGGGAACTCACACGAGAACTTCCCGATGGGTCACCCATCCTGGGAATGCTCTCGCGCGCTACTCGCTTAACTTTGGAGTTCCCATGGAACCCGAAGCCAGTGAGCTCCCAAAAGGCCTCGTGCTAGGTAGAGATGGGAATATACATATAAGGATCACCCCTGGGCGATGTGGAATGTCACAATCCACCCCCCTTAGGGGCTCGACGTCCTCGTCGGCACACACGCGGCCAGGGTAAGGCTCTGATACCAAATTGTCATATCCCGACCCGGGGGGCACCACTTCCCGGGCCCGATCCACCACCGTAGCACGATATTGTCCGCTTTGGGCTTACCATTCCCTCACGGTTTTGTTTTTGGGAACTCACGAGCAACTTCCCAGTGGGTCACCCATCATGGGATTGCTCTAGCCCTCTTCTCGCTTAACTTCGGAGTTCCCATGGAACCCGAAGCCAGTGAGCTCCTAAAAGGCCTCGTGCTAGGTAGAGATGGGAATATACATATAAGGATCACCCCTGGGCGATGTGGGATGTCACACAATGTCTAGTCGTTGGAGAATACTCAGCCAATCATTTAGTCTTTGGAGAGACGCCTTAGCACAAACTAGTGCTAATCTTCGAAGTGGGAAAAATTTAGCGAATCAGGTAACAATATATTATTTGTTTGTTTGTACTATACCCCAATTTACATTTTTTTAGCTACTTTGATTATAATTATTTCTTCTCCCACATTGTGTAGACACTTCAAGCATAAGGTTGGTATAATGCCAAAACCAAAAATAAAAACAAATCATTTACCGATGGGAATGTTGGAATATTGTCAAAGATTGTCCTAAATTCAGAGTTGTACCTGTCGGTCCATAAGTTGTCATGAACAACACCTCTCTACACTCTACATCTGTTCATGACTCGCATGTTCATAAAACCGAAACAAAAGAAGTGCTAGAAACGCCCCCTGAACAAGCGTCTGGGTCGACCCGATATCCAATTAAGCCTTTAGGTAAGAAGGCTTCAAAGAGAAAAGGGAGTGCTTCCAAGAATGATTATGGAAAATATATGGAAAAACTTGCTCGCCAAGGTGAAGAAAGATTCGATTGCGGAGCAAAACCTCATCAGGGACTAAAAAATGGTTGATTTCTCCATCCTCGCTAGGGGTGGGAAATTTTGCCATAAACCGATTTAGCAACCGAACCATACCAGTCGGCTCATAATGGTATGGTATAGTTTTGGCATTTTTTCATAATCAGTTGACATTTTATCAAACTGACAATTAATGGCATGGCTTTGGTAATTGATTTTGTATGTCGGCGGTATGCCATAACTACCAATATATGTGTGTGTGTGTGTATATATATATATTTTTTTTTTTTTCTATTTAGATATTTTGGGTATTTTTTACATGCTTGACTCCTCAGTTTTAGGGTTTAGAAAATAAATGACTCATTTGTTTTAGAGTTTAAAAAATATGTGTATATATATGTATATGATTCATACTATAATAAATATAGAAAATATTGTTAACAAAATTGATAGCATGATGATTACTGATACTATATATACACGTACATATATATATGATTTTGAATGTATATGCGTTGCTTATGTTTAGGATGATGGAGTCTAGCCAATCAACCGCTAGTATGGATTAACCCAAAATGAACCACGCAATGCAACCGAACAAGCACCTCAATCTGAAAATCAAATTGAGCCCTTGGAACTAGAAAATAACGAGGAAGAAGTGGAAACCACCGGTTGTGCCATTTGCCAACTGAATCAGCCAATAATTTTGGCTGAACCAATTTTTGGCAACCGCAAGAAGATGGTTGGTTAGCGGTAATTGATTTTCGGTAATTATGTATATGTGGCTGGCATGTGGCACAAGGAATTTGGCACGGTTTGCCAACCGAACTCAACCCTAATCCTTGCTATCTCATCCACTTGGTCTGCATATGCTCCATATGCAAACATCCGCATGGCAACAATAATTTTTTGCTCAAGAAGGAGACTCGTAACACCAAAATCATCATTATTTTGAAACAAAGTAAGAATCATGGTTGCAAATAACATCATGATTTTGTTGAATAAATGTCGTTCCAATCTAAAATGACGCCTAAAGTACGTATGAGGGAATGCATTGTTACGGGCAAAATAATCGTCCAAAAGATCCTTACCTCGTCGTTGCCTGCTTCTATCAATGTTTGCGGAACGGCTGGGCCTGCAGATCTGAGCCACAGCTTCGATGACTCGAGGGGAATGTGAGGCTCTTTGGCTTCTTGCTTCGTCATCTCTCCTTTTATGCTCCTCATCCTCTTTCTCTTCCATCTCATTTTGGGCCACCTGGAGATTGAACATTTTATCCCCTTGCTTAAACAATTCTTTCTCTTGCTCCTTGGTTTCCCACAACATCCTTGAAGAAGAAGACATTGTAAGAAGGAAGCATAAACTATAAATAATGATAGAGATTTTGATTTTGGTGAAGAAAGAAACAAAAACTATGAATAATGATAGAGATTTTGATTTTGGTGTGTGCTTTCTTAGGATGGATGATGGGTTATATAGAGGAAAAAGAAAGCATTAGGTTGTAGATAATGCCACGTGGCATGCCGTCATTCGTTAAAAATCTGATCGAAATCTATCATCAAATATTGTAAACAAATTGTGACATGTGGCGTAACGTAATCGGTTAAAAATCTTATCAGAAATATATCCTCAACGATTCTGAAAAGGTAACGACACGTGGCACGACGGCATTGTATAAAAATTTTATCGAAATCTATCACCAATAATTGTCTTTTCAGATAATGACACGTGGCGCAACGAGAACGATTAAAAAATCTTATCCGAAATTACAAATAAAATTATTTTGTATTATTTTATAAAATAAAAATTACTAATATTTTATTATCTATTGCCATTGTTATTCAGTTTAGAGGTGAAGATGCAAAATGCAGTTACTGTTCATTAAAGGAAATTACTGTTTACTAGATGGATTCAATAATGAGTAGATCTAGAAGATATTTGTAACGCTGAGGTTGCTCTAAAGACATCTACTAATCAGTGCGAGTGTATAAATACACAAAGAAGCGAGGTTCCACCAGATTTGACACACCCAATCAACTAATCAGTTTCGTGGGCCCACCCCTCACGTTAAAAACATTAAACTTGTGCACATCATATATCACGCTTCAAATATTTTATTCTATTCCATCTGTAACCTTCTTATTTAACTAGTTCCCAAAAAAACACTCTTCTTATTTAACTATTTGTTAAATTTAGCTCACTTGATTAATTTTTTGGAGTGCTACACTACTTCTTGATTTGCAACCCGTCGAATCGATTGCATTAAAAAAAGATTAAATAATAAAGGAGGTATAAAAAGTTAAAAAAGTATATGAATAGTACATTCTAATTTTTTTTCTTTTACAAAGGCACCAGTTTCATTTATGAAAAAAAAAACACGATCCATTACGTTCCCCCCGTTTCATTTACAAACAGGTCCGGTCTAGTTTCTTTAATTTTGGACCCAGCCTGGCTTGTGGCCAACCCTAGTTCGAATCAGTGTTTAAAATATCGGAATCGGTGGAATATCGATATACAAATTTATGTTAATAGTGATAGATATATTGATATCGGTTGTCTTCGATGGAAATAAAAGAAATTTGCTCAATAATGTGGAAACTTACAATGAAACTTTAGAAAATGTCTTATGGTAATTTGTCAATATTCAACCGATATGTCAAAAATATCGACGAAATCTATCAATTTTGACTAAAATTTAAGAGTGTTTTTTCGATATAATGTGAAGTTTAGACTTTACCAATTTTTCAGATCCTTCTCTATTTTTTTTATGGTTCTAACTAACTTAACTATGTCAAAATACGCAATAAAAGATTAAATATAAGTCGACATGTTAGCCTTAGATATCTCCTACTTAATATTTTTAGACAGAATATCTGCTAATTATATACCCGAACGTGTTTTTTTGGTTCAAATTAACAAAAAAAATTTGTCAAAAATGTGGGAGGTTCCGGGTTTGATACTTCAAGTTAGTGAGTTTGCTTAACCGAAGCCTTAGGCAGTGTGAAATTCTCCATAATCTCGCAAGGTCTGCAAGAGGTAAATACCCGTAACTTACCATCAGCTATTCATTTTTGTAAAACGAAAAAAAAAAAAAAACTTTTTGTCTCTCTTGGACATAAATAACCAAAAACTAACAATCAAACTTCTCTTCTGTGGATTTACTTGTGCATAAAGAAAAAGAAGAAGCAACTTCTCCTCTTTACTCTCTCTCTCTCCTCTCCTTGTCTTTTTTCTAGATATTCTCTCTGCATTCTCCTATTAATTGGCGGAGAGATGCTTCATGAGTAAATCCTTTCTTTAAAGCAGCTGTGTGTTTTTCTGTTATTTGGCTGAAAAGCTCGCCCCTTCAATAAATAAACTCCCAAGACGGACTGTGAAAACCTGCGCTGCAAAAGGACTTCCTTTCTGTTTCAGCCAGCCTTTGTTTTCTCCTGCAGAAAACCGACTCTCTCTCCCACTCTCTCTCTCTGTTCATCTTCCCTGCTTTAGTGCATCATGGAATGCTTCTTGATCATGTGGCTGAGACTCAACCACCCCACCAGCTGACCCCACCTGGGAATTCCAGTGGCAAAAGTAATAATTATCACTTCCTTGTTTCTTCTGTCGTTTCCTTGTCTGTGTGAAGTGTTCTTTGAGCTCTTCTGTCATCAATTGCCAATTGGGTTTCTGGGTTTTAACGGGTTTTGTTCAATTCCTGAATTTTGGGTATATTTGGCACTGAGTTGAATTATAAAACTTTAGTTTTAATTCATTTTCTTGGTGGGTTTTTATCAAAAGATTGGAACTTTGGTTTTTGTTCTTTCAAGCTTTTGGTGGGTGTCAACTTTTTGAGCCCTGACAATTTCTGTATAGTGCTTTTGGATTGTCTTTTGTTGTTTTAAAAGATATTTTTTTGAACTGGACATATCATCCTAATCAGTTTTTGTTGTTGTTTTCTCTTTTGGTGTGCAGATTGTATTGTTTTGTTTCTGGGTTTCTATGCAAAGTTGTATTGGGAGTAAATTTTTCAAGTGAAGATAAAAAATTGAAGATCTGGGTCTAGCTTTAAAGTCAGTTTTTTGTGATTTGATATTGGTTTTGTTGAGTATTCCTGTTGTGGGATTTGGATTGTGAGGAGTGAGGGGATATCAGAAGGAATAAAATTGTGGAAGCTGCAGAACCTTTTGAAATTTCAATGTCTTCAAACGCAGAGGTTAATGGAGACAGTGATACCACCAACAAAGGCAGTATGTGGGTTCTGGATCAGAAGCTTGACCAACCCATGGACGAGGAGGCTGGCAGGCTGAGAACTATGTACAGGGAAAAGGTACTCTCTCTCTAATCCTCCCACTTCCCTCTTACATATGTGTATGTCAATCTGTAACAGTTCAGAAGTAATTCAATGAAGTTAAAACAGTTTTTACTCCCTGTATAAGAGTTTATACCTTCTCGGGCTAAACTATTAGTAAGTAGTTCTCTTTATTCTTTGTTGGACGTAATTCAACTGCTATGAAAACGACTGGAATGTGGTATATGCTTATAGGTTGAGTAATGGCCTGTTATTAGTTGATTTGCAAGATAATGTATGTTCTTGATTCTGTTTGCTGATCCAATTTTCGATTCTCCAGAAGTTCTCCGCACTATTGCTTACGCGGCTTGCATTCCAAAGTCTTGGAGTGGTTTTTGGAGATTTGGGTACTTCTCCCTTGTATGTTTTCTACAATACCTTTCCCCATGGGATTAATGATCCGGAGGATGTGGTTGGAGCTCTTTCGTTGATTATATACTCTCTTACCCTTGTACCGCTCCTCAAGTACGTATTTGTTGTTTGTCGGGCAAATGACAGTGGTCAAGGTAAACCAAACTCTACTTGTAGATTTGCTCCATTAAATTCAACTGTTCTGGTGTTTTATGGGATTGTAAAATGGACAAAGCACATGTTTACTATTATTTGCTATTACAGTTAAAATATGCCTACTTAAAATCTATGCTAGCGTATAAAGTGATCTCTGGCAGAATTGTTTCGAAAAGTAGCATATACTAGTGTCTAGTGTTCGGCTTACATTAATGATGTACGCCTATAAATTTTTTACTTACCGATTCAATCCCCAGCTCACATCATTGGTTATGTGTTTTAAGTTATGCGCAGCAATGTGTGAAGCTATACTTACACATGAAGTGATTATTTTGGCAACACTGATACATATACTTCTTAATTTAGAATAAAGGTTTGGTAAGTTTTCATTTTAGTTCTTCTCCTGAAATTGATTAAACATGACATTGTGTCCGCTTTGTTTTCAATGTTCTCGAACTACATGCCTCCAAGAGTTGTATGGTACCTTTTGTGCTTATGAGTCACCGTAAAATCTTATGGAGCTTGTGGTTTCTGCGTTGCAGGTGGAACATTTGCTCTTTATTCACTTCTCTGTCGGCATGCAAATGTTAAAATTATTCCTAACCAACACCGGACTGATGAGGAGCTAACGACATATAGTCGTTCTACTTTCCATGAACAATCATATGCTGCAAAAACCAAGAAGTGGTTGGAGGGGCATGCATCAAGGAAGAATGCCCTTCTTCTTCTGGTCCTCATAGGCACTTGTATGGTGATTGGAGATGGAATTCTTACTCCAGTTATATCTGGTACGCATTCCACAGTAGGAGTTATCCTAACCTTTCTCCTAGTAATTAATCTACCTGTTTGTCCTTTTTTTTTTTTTTTATTATCTACTTTTTTGGTGCCACAATAAGTGAAAAAAATTAATTAGGAGAGGCCCAATGGTGCACTTAGGTACATAAGAAGTGTACACACAAGAAGTAATCGAGAAACAGAGAAACTTCTTATTAAAAGGCCCAAAGAAGTTAAGAAACAAAGAAAAGCTAGAAAAGGATAATGTGTTCTGGAGGTCAATGTAGTTATCAACATGGATAACTATCTCAAAAGTCAGCCTTTAGCCAATACATAGAGTGCTGCACTCAGAAAGATCTAACATATCTGTCTAAACAGAAAAAGAAGTAATCCAAACTGTATGACTCCTCATCTTACTAAAGGGCCATGCCAAGAAGTAAGTGCCGAAGAATGTTCTTGGAAGCATCCCACGATCCACTAAATAACAAAAGCACAAAGGCCTACAAATCACATGACAATGTATCAGGAAATGATTTATTGATTTTCTGCATGCTTACTCAGTCTTAGGTTTTCCCATGTTTTTCTCGGTACTCAGTGGTTCCCTTATTAATCTCAGTATCCGCAGTTTCAAAGAGTTAATATCTTCATCATTCTCAAGAGATACAATGCATTCCATTAGTCTTGGTATCTAGTGATGTCTGGGAAACTGTCGCAGGTTTTATTGAAGAAAAATCTGGTTCCACTTCCATGGGTTGAAGTAATGAGTTGGAAGTGGAAGTTGGTTAATGTCATGTCATCCTGAACTATCGGACATGATATGGCGTATTTTCTTCATACATAGAAGACAATTAAAGTTGCAGATTTTAGGCACCATATAATTGAACATCTTCAATGTTCTTTTCTTGATTCTGGAAGCAGAAAAAATTTCGCTGCTTGAGATTTCCTACTTTGTCTAACAGTTTTCCGTAACACCAATACCCTTCTTATTTACGTAATTAGGAATGTACAACTCTCTTGCATTTTCCTTTATCTCAACTCATCCTTCATTCCAAACCATTTGGGTTGGCTATTTTAATTATCTTTCCCAAACAACATGGAGTCCTCTTTTTTTCTACTCAGTTTGATAAAAAAAAAGTGACACATCAATATCAATTAAGTTAAATTTTTTCTATTTTCCTCAGGTTCACCGCTCATTAGAAAATGACTAACTATGCTTTGCTTTTGACAGTTTTATCAGCTGCTGGTGGGATCAAAGTCAGAAGTCCTGGCATGAACAGTGGTACCACTAAATTCCGTGGAGCTAAAGTTTACTTTTTATTCTTTTATAATTGTCGATTTTTTATGATTGCTGCCTCTGCATCTTTCTCCCTCATTACTTGAACTATTTCTTAACTTGTACTTTCTTTGTTGTGGTACAGATTATGTCATACTCGTTGCTGTTGTAATATTAGTAGGTCTGTTTAGCGTGCAGCATTATGGCACAGATAAAGTTGGTTGGCTCTTTGCTCCCATTGTGCTGCTTTGGTTTCTATTAATTGGAGGTATTGGCATTTTCAACATCTGGAAACATGACAGTACTGTTTTGAGAGCTTTTTCCCCCGTGTATATATATCGGTATTTTAAAAGGAACGGGAGAAATGGTTGGACTTCCCTTGGGGGTATTATGCTTAGTATAACAGGTAAAGTTTCTGTATCCAAGTTTCACTTTCCAACTCTTTTAAGTTTCAACAAAATTCTACCACATCTCTGATCTTGGATTCTGATGGAAAATTCTGAATGATTACAGGGACAGAAGCACTCTTTGCCGACCTTGCCTATTTTCCAGTTTCAGCTGTACAGATTGCGTTTACTACAGTCGTGTTTCCTTGCCTTCTTTTGGCCTATTGCGGACAGGCTGCCTTCCTTGTGAAAAATCATGCAGACAAAACTGTGCTTCAAGCATTTTATCTTTCTATTCCAGGTTTCTTCTAATTTATATTTTGCATTTAAAGGATGCTCATATCAAACATGGTGGTACACATAACGGTTTTCTCAAAATTGAGGCATAACATTTCAAAGTATAGTTTTTGATAGAATTAAAGAGCATGCCCTTCACTCCTCAGTACCTTTTTTAGTCTTTTTAATCGTAACTAACGTAGATTGTTGGGTCTATTTTTTTGTACAAAGGAGGTCAAGGTGGGGATGGGCACGCTCAAACTTTAACTTTGAGTGTGAGAGTAAATACTTTCTACCTTTCGAGCTACAATCGAGCTACAAGTCCCCACTTCTCTATTTGCTGAGAGATTATTTGATCAAATATTTGAACGAATATGATTGCTTTGAAGAAACTCATCAAAATCGATATGACACAAAATATATTTAGTAGTCTTTTAGTTGGAGTGGGTATGTAATATTTCCTGTACAGAATTTTTACTGTGCCATCTAAAACATAATCTAAGAAAAGCGGGGAAACAAGTAATATAATGTCTTATACAGTAGGCACTAGGCAGCATACTGTTGTTCCAAAGATGCTTACTGTTTCTCTTACTGCAGAACAAATATACTGGCCAGTCTTCATTGTTGCGACTCTTGCTGCCATAGTTGCCAGTCAAGCGACAATATCAGCAACATTTTCAATAATCAAGCAGGCTCTTGCACTTGGCTGTTTTCCTAGAGTCAAAGTTGTACATACATCAAAGAAGTTCCTCGGCCAAATATATATTCCAGATATTAATTGGATCCTTATGATTCTTTGCATTGCTGTGACTGCTGGGTTCAAAAATCAAAGCCAAATTGGAAATGCTTATGGTAAGTTCATCCTCTGTTAAATCTTGTGAAGCTTACGTAAGCCATATTCTCTACTCTGTGCAACTAGACTCAAAGAACATGTAATGTAATTGCGAAATCTTCTTTGAAAAAAAAATGGTTGAAAACTTCTTTAAATAAAATAAGAGACGGGAGAAGTATTTGAGATAAACTCAAAGGTGAAGAAGTCGGGAGGTGGTGAACTTTTTTTGAGACAATGTAGAGAAATAGTTGCTGACCTGCCGTTGTGAAATTGATTTATGATGAAATTTTTACTAGTTTAAGCTCGTTCTTCCAAAATAAGCTTGCACTCACTTGAGTTATATTTTATGTTGCTACAGGGACGGCAGTTGTAATAGTCATGCTGGCAACCACATTGCTTATGACTCTAATCATGATATTAGTGTGGCGCTGCCATTGGATTCTTGTCGTTACATTCACCAGCTTGTCGCTGATTGTGGAATGCACTTACTTTTCTGCTGTACTCTGCAAGGTTGATCAAGGTGGATGGGTTCCTCTTGTGATTGCAGCTGCTTTTCTTCTCATCATGTATGTTTGGCATTATGGTACGTTGAAACGTTATGAGTTTGAGATGCACAGTAAAGTTTCAATGGCATGGCTTCTTGGGCTTGGCCCCAGTTTAGGACTGGTTCGAGTCCCTGGGATAGGACTTGTGTACACCGAGCTTGCAAGCGGGGTGCCCCACATCTTTTCCCACTTCATCACCAACCTGCCTGCAATCCACCAGGTTGTTGTCTTTGTCTGTGTTAAGTACCTCCCTGTATACACCGTCCCAGAAGAAGAAAGATTCCTCGTCAAGCGGATTGGCCCCAAGAGTTTCCACATGTTTCGTTGTGTTGCAAGATACGGTTATAAAGACCTACACAAGAAAGATGATGACTTTGAGAAGAAGCTCTTTGAAAACCTTTTCCTGTTTGTCCGGCTTGAGTCCATGATGGAAGGGTGTTCAGACTCAGATGAGTACAGCATCGGTGGCCAGCAAACTGAGAGATCAAGGGACGGCCTCTTAACTAATAATGGCAACACAACCACTTCTACCGTAGACCTCAGTATCTTATCAGTGGACTCAATTGTTCCGGCTAAATCTCCACCGCACGCGAACAATACCGTGAGTTCGTACGGGCAGATGAGCAGCCAGAATGAGATTGATGAGCTAGAGTTTCTGAATAATTGTCGAGAGTCCGGGGTGGTGCATATACTTGGGAACACGGTAGTGAGAGCAAGGAGGGATTCCAGGTTCTACAAAAAAATAGCCGTTGATTACATTTATGCATTTCTCAGGAAAATTTGCAGGGAGAATAGTGTGATCTTCAACGTTCCCCATGAGAGTCTATTGAATGTTGGACAGATTTTCTATGTGTAATTTTTTGTCCGTCATAAAATAATTACTTTATATCATATGTAAATGCCAATTGTATTTTTTTTAAATTCTGTATTGTTGCAACTATAGTTACAACAATAAAGTCTTAGACCACTAAGTGGGTGGCTATATGTATTCTAGCATGCTAATGCGCTTGGTTTTGCACCAAATCTTCCGTTAGCTCCAAGTACTCTAAGTTTTTTTCTTAGAATCTCTTTCTAAGTCTTCCTCTATACTTTTGGCCCTAACTCTGCCTGATAATTGCACCTTCTAACCAGAGCATCTGTAGGTTTTCAGTTCACATGTCCAGACTATCTTAACCAATTTTTTCTCATTGTCACTTCAATTGCGTCCAATCCTACCTTACCTTGGATATCCTCATTTTTAATCATGTATTTTCTCATGTGCCCACACATTTAACGAAATATTATCATCTCAGCTACACATTTTGGGCACATGTTGATGCTTGACTACTCAACATTCTAAGACCATCTCCAACAATGGGCTAAATGCCAAATTTCCCCCCAAATTTCCCCCCCCAAACCATCTCCAACCCATGCTAAAACATTGGGCTAAATGCCAAATGTTAAAGTTGGGCCAAATTCCCCCCAAAATTCCCCCCCCGCGCGACTGGACTCGCTGGCCCAAAGGCCAGTCTCGGCCCGTTCACTCGCGTACGCGCCCCACGCGGTGCGCTTGCAGACGTTGCCCGACAGGGTGGGCCCCGCTGTCAGCGGGTTGTCGGCCACCCAGCTGAAGTCCAACGGCTATTTTTGCAATCCAACGGATGTGTTTCAAGGACCGTTGGTTGATCCAACGGTCCAAATTCAAATTTGATTTTTTAAAATATGTTATTTTAAAATACATTGAATCCAACGGCTGAGATCAAATATAATCAAATCTAACGGTAAAAAAAAAGATCTAACGGCCCAAATTTAAATCTAACGGTTAAAATAATTAAAAAAAAATATTTAACTCAAAATTCACCCAAAAACTCTATAAATACCTATGTATTTGTTCAAACATCCACACAAAACTCAAATTTCTCTTACAATTCTTCCAATTTATCTTTCCACCATTTCTTTCCATTTCCAAATTGTTCAACATGGCAAGGGAGCATATTAGAGGTCGTAATTGAACAATTCTGCATCCTCAATCTCCATCCTTGCTTGGTATTGTGCCATCTGCATTGCCATACTACGCCTTCTTCTATCACCCATTGATGAGATATTGAGGATTTTTAGGAAACAAAAACTCTTTGAAAGTTGAAAATGGGTGAATATAAAGGATGATTGAAGGTTGAAAGGTTGTGTGATCAACAAATATTGGACATATGTTTATATAGAGGATGATTTCTGAAAGTTTGGTGGTGAATGGTTGGTTGAAAGTTTGGTGTTTATATAGTTGGTGAAAGTTGAAAGTTTGGTGTTTATATAGTTGGTGAAAGTTGAAAGTTTGGTGTTTATATAGTTGGTGAAAGTTGAAAGTGTGGTGTTCAACGGTTGGTGAATTGAAAATTTGGTGTTCAAAGTTTGGTGAATTGAAAGTTAGCCTAGGGTTGAAAGATTGGTAAAAGTTGACGGCTTGCTTTGTGGGAAATTTAGTGATTTTTCAATATTTATCGGAATTTAAATTTTTTTAGATTAAAATGTTCATAAAATTAATTTACGATAGTCTACATATTTATTTCTTTTAAAAAAATTAATTTAACAAAAAAAATAGCATAAGTTCATTCTTTAATAATCCCGGGCTAAAATTTTAGGCCAGAACGGTTGGAGCAGAAAAGTTGTTTCTGGGCTAAAAGCTAAATTTTCCGGGCTAAAAAATTTGGCTTTTAGCCCAACCATTGGAGATGGTCTAAACCACAAAGCATTATAGGCCTTATTGCCATCCTATCCTATATTTTTTTTTTCCCCAAAGCTTTAGTGGCTTACTACAGTTAGTATAATATTAGGAATGCAATTAGACTGTTCAGAAATGTCACAAAAACTTGTGAAAAATGGGATTATCTGTTTTTGCCTTCTGTTGAACTCGGTACTTGTTTATAGCTTTGACATGGGAAATGTAAATTCTGGTATTTAACAAACGTCGAGAATCTTCCTTGTACTTTTTTTAAGAGAAAAATGTCAAGCTCCAAATTTTAGTTCTTTTTTTTTTTTTTTTGGTAGAACTCGAGAAAGAGGAAGTGAATTCTCTCAACAAACTGAGCGGGAAACTCGTTGCATGTCAAGCTACGTGCTTGTTGCATCGTGTCACTCAGTTTTCTACAAAGGTCTTGTCTTCTACGTAAAAATCTGGATATTTATTTCGTTTTATTTCCCTTTTGTTACTTGAAATGCAAAATCTATAAATAGGCGAGGCATCAAAACATGATCCGATTGCATTGCCCTCCGGAAAAATATGAGACGAATAATAATTCCTGCCCCTAATCCTCTACAAACTGTTGTCCCAAGCACCAAGCAAATTCTGGGGTACCACAAGAAAACCTCAAGAAAAAAAATGGAAAAATAAAATTATTCAAGTGAAGAAATTGGAAAAATGTTGCTGGATAGGTGAAGTTCGAGCACGGGAAGAAGAACCCATTTGCATAAGTGAGCTGCTGATCACTGCAACAATGTCTGACAATGGAGACACTGAAAAAAAAGGTGGGGTCTGGGATTTGGATCAACAGCTCGACGAGCCCATTGATGAGGAGGCTAAAACGGTCAGAAACGTGTACAGGGAGCAGGTTCTCTCTCTCTCTCTCTCTCTCTCTCTCTCTAAAACCCAGTTCAACAAATTTGGAAATGTCAAAGCTAAAGTCTTTAACTTGTGTAAGTTGTTGAGATAGGGATAAGTAAAATGATTCAATGGACTGCATTTTCAATTAGGAGAGAAGTTTCGGTAGGGCTACCCTACTAGAGAAGCTCTCACATTGATCGGAAGTAACATGGGTCAGGTGACACCAAAATATAGGAGGTCCCATGCATAAGTGAGATGTGCCCTACGATTGACATGGTCCGGATGTTGCTACCGATTTTTTTCTCTTCAATTAGACGTAGTCAGAATTTTCTTATTAATTGTAAACTCTTTGATGGCAGACATGTTTTGAATGCAATTAACAGATATTTGAGGTAATGTGTTATTCCTAGGACTAGCTTTTGGTCCTGTTTCTGATTGCTCTTGGTTCACTTCAGACGCGTTGTTCAGTGGGAATGGTTCTACAGCTTGTATTTCAAAGCCTTGGTGTGGTCTATGGAGATTTGGGCACATCCCCCTTGTATGTTTTCAAAAATACATTTCCTGCAGGAATTGATGACCCGGAAGATTTACTCGGAGCTTGATCGGTTATCATATATTCACTCACTCTTATTGCACTCGTGAAGTATGTTCTTATAGTCTGTAGAGCGAATGACAATGGTCAAGGTAGACTGATCTCGACCGATAAATTTACTTTATACTAGTTGGTAATACTTTGACTGCAGTTCTCAGATGATTGATCTAAATTTGACTTTGTTGATTGTTCACTATTCGGTACAGTTGCATAAAAGATTATGGATGGTTTTTCGAGCTGTTGAGTTGTTTCATGTGGCCTCAATATTGCAGTTCATTTACATATTTCCTCTTCGTCCTCTTAGGGTTGATTGGTGGTTCTTATGTTTGTTTCCCTTGGGAGCGATTGAAGGAAGGTTTTCTTCCCGAAGATTTCATGAATTAGAAAGGGGGAGGATAAAGTTGGTGAGGGGGAGGGAACAGATGAAAGTTTGGTGTACAAACACTATGTAAATGTATACAAGACATCCGCGTAATACAAACGTTTGACTAATATCATGCATCCTTTGCTATGTGTACTTCTGATACTAGTCTACTGTAAAATGCAGTTCCTGTAAGCTTATCCTCCTCATGGTTTCCGGTGGAACATTTGCTCTTTATTCATTACTCTGCAGGCATGCAAAAATAAAGACTGTTCCCAACCAAGACCATAGCGATGAGGAGCTAACAACATTTAGCAGTTCTACTTTTGGTGAGAAATCATTTGCTGAATGCACCAAGAGATGGCTGGAAGGACATGCAGTGATGCAGAACATACTTCTTATTCTTGTCCTGATTGGCTCTTGCGCTGTGATAGGGAACGGGATCCTGACTCCAGCCAGATCAGGTATATTATCATCATGTCGTAGACTCGTAGGATCATTCTTCTGTCTATATATGTTTTTAATCATCTTACAGATTTAGATCATTTTCGACAAATATGAAAGTGAGTAGGTTACATGGAAGGTAAATCGGTTTAGGCAAGTATAAAATGAACAAGTGATGGATAAGCCAGGTTTATCGGATACTTTTCGTAATTAGTAGACAAAAAGAAGGAAACAAACAACGGAGAACTTCTTGTCTCCGATGGTATTCATGTTGCCATTTTATTAAGCACCTGCTCTTAAGATGAATATGTAGTCCCACTTTCTGTAACTATCTGCACAAATTCGAGATGAAAGCGAGTTATATCGATGAAATGTCAAACTTCTCTTGGGACATCTTCGAGGGTATCCATTATCATGCAATTTGTCTAAATTGAGGAGGAACTTTGAGTTGATTTTGCACAAGCTTTATTTGTTGACCTGGCTGTCAATCTCTAACACATATAACTCGCTTTCATATCGGTCTATGTGCAATTTTTCTAGGGACATTGAGGCCTCGTTTCCATTGAGTTGAATTTGCACGAGGCCTTAATATGTTCTTTAATGCTAATGAGGTGAGTATGATTCTTTCTCAGTTCCATTGGACGCCGCTGAACCATATTCTATTTGATAAGTATATGTAATACTTAACCATACTTTCTTTAACAGTACTGTCAGCGGTTGGTGGGATCAATGTCGGATGGTCCCCGAACAGTAACGGTATCTCCATGCTCCTGGATGTAAAGTTCTTCTATTTGCTTCATCATTTCTGTTACTGAATCATTCAATGTTCCAAATCTGATTACACATTTTTATATACAGGCGTAGACGTGCTTGTTGCTGTTGTTATACTGGTACTTTTGTTTGTCGTGCAACAATTTGGTCCAGAAAAAGTTGGTTGGCTGTCTGCACCAATTGTGCTCCTTTGGCTTATCGTTATTGGCCTGTGTTTGCTGTTGCAACTGCAGCTGCTATTGTTGCAAGTCAGGGCATCATCACCGCCACTTTTTCATTAGTCAAGCAAGCCCTTGCACTTGGCTGTTTCCCTCGAGTCAAAGTTGTACATACATCGAGGAACCCTCACCATATTTATATTCCAGACATTAACTGGATTCTTATGATTCTATGCATCTTCATAGCAGCTCGGTTTAGAAATCAATTCGAAATTGGGAACGCTGCTGGTAAGTTTTTTCTCTTGTTCCCACATATCACACCTTCTTCTCATCCTGCAGAATGTCCTATAGTTGTTTTCATCCTTTTCGATTACTTTCTTTCGTATCTACAACTTTTCTCAAGTGTTCAATTTCTCTGACGTTCTGACCGTTATTTGCATCAATTGATGTAATCTTATGTGTTGCAACAGGGACGGGGGTTCTTATAGTCATGATAGTAACCACATTTCTTATGACGTTGGTCATGATATTAGTTTGGCGCTGTCATTGGATTCTCGTACTTATTTTCAGTGTCTTAACGTTGGTGGTGGAGGGCACTTACTTTTCAGCTATACTCCCCAAGATCAATCAGGGAGTCTGGGTTCCTCTTGTGCTTACACTAGCCTTCCTTATCGTCATGTATGGCTGGCATTACGGTACAGTAATACGCTATGAGATTGAGATACACAGCAAGGTGTCGATGGCATGGCTTCTTGGACTTGGTCCTAGTTTAGTACTAGTTCGGGTACCTGGGATAGGCCTCGTGTACTCTGACATAGCGACTGGAGTGCCCCGCATCTTCTCTCACTTTATCACCAACCTGCCCGCCATCCACCCTGTTGTCGTCTTTGTCTGCGTCCCTACCTGTCTGCACACTCCCAGAAGAGGAACGGTTCCTCGTAAAGCGTATTGGACCCCAAAACTTCCACATGTTCCGTTGTGTTGTACGATATGGCTACAAAGACGACCACAAAAGGGATGATGAGTTTGAGAAGAAGCTCTTTGACAATCTCTTCACATTCGTCCGGCTTGAGTCCCTGATGGAAGGATCTTCGGGCTCTGATGTGTCCAGTTTACTGAACCAGGACGCCACATGGAACAATCACAGCGCCAATGCAGACCTGTCGATAGCATCAGTAGGCTCCCTTGAACCTGATGATTGTCCGGTGCATATCGGCCAGAGTTTGGCCTATGCCTCTGTCCCGCCAAGCAAGCAGCTGGTGGAGCTGGACGGGATAGAGTTCTTGAACCGGTGTAGAGATGCAGGGGCGGTGCACATACTTGGGAACACTGTCGTACACGCTAGGGGGGGATCGAATTTTTTCAGGAGGGTGGCGATTGATTACCTGTAAGCATTTCTTAGGAAGACATGCAGAGGGAACAGTGCGTTGTTCAATGTTCCTCATGAGAGTTTCTTGAGTGTCGCACAGATTTTCTACGTGTAACACTTTTTTAATTTGTAAATTAGCTTCTGCCTTCTCCGTTAGACAAAAAAGATGCAACATTCAGAACTAGACTACTAGAGCGTGGATTTTCCAACAGGCAGATCCTCAACTTCGTGAAAAACTTACATGCACAGGATGTATATTCTTCTGTGTTCCTACAACACTCTCGGGATAAGAATTTTCACTCTAAATTTGCTAAGAAACACGATGATTGGCTTAGAAAAACACAAAATCACTTGCACAAGAGATTTTTTTTTTTTTTGACCAAATGATATTCTAAATTTTTGTGATAAGGTGAGATTTGAACTAATTTCACTTTTAACATATTACACTAGGGCTTATTATATTAATACCCCACAAATTGTTGAATAAACCCCACATTTGCTTTTTAACTTAAAAATTATCTTAATACATCCCACATATTTTTCCATAATACACCCACACCCCACATTCTCAATATACACCTTATATTTTGTACATACACCCCACATTTCTCAAATCTTATAACACTCTTTTTTAATTTTTACAGACTGAATCTAATCATTTGAACGTTTAGTTTGCCGAAAGATTTCAAATCATCTAAACGTTTAGTTTGCCGAATGATTTCAAAATGATGATTTGCTAGGTAGGGTAACATCAGCAATGGCTTCATTGTTAGGTTTAACGTCGTGGTACGCAATTTTTGTTTTGACTTTCACGAACTTCATTTCTGCAGTGTGGAGCACTTGGAAAACACAAGGTTCTAAAAAACGTTAGACGCTAGTCTGGCGGCAGGCTAGCGCCTAGTGCCTAAGCGGCTAGGCGGGGTCTAGGCAGGCGCCTAGACGGATTTAGGTAAATTTATTGTATATCTTGTAAATAAGTGCATATTGATACTTACAAAAAATTATACTTGTATGAAATCCATGAATAAGATGATAAAAAATGATAAAATGCAAAAAGATTATCCAATAAATCCAAAATTTAAAAACACATTAAGCATATATGCCATATAAATTACATATATAAAGTGAGAAAGTGAAAAATGTGAAGTTTTCAAAAGATCAAGAAATTCTTCTCCCTATTTTAGGGTTTTAAAATAGAATAATAGAGATAAATTAGTAATTTAAGATATTTTAAAAGAAGAGATGTAGTATTGGAATTTTCTTAAGATTTTTTTAAATGGGAAGAGATAAAATCCCACCTAACGTCTTACCCCACATCTGCAACCCCTCTTTCACATCACCAAAGAAGTCTCAATCCAAGATCATGATGTAATAGTAGAGAAAAGATTAAAGAAACCAATTCTATTATTTAATGATTAATGATAAGGCATAGTGGTGAACGAACTGTAAATACAGTAAAGTGGGTTTCTTTCTCACACATCTTCTTCTTCTTTTCTCACACATCTTCTTCTTCAATCTGGGTTGTTTTCCATTTTCTCTTCCTCATCACTCACATATACTTCTTATATTTTTCTCTGTAAGTTCCCTTCTTCATCGAGTCTAGCATTTATAGAGCTGATTTGCAAATGCGAGCCTGCCTAAGATGAGAGGGCATGGAACAAAGGACCAGAGTTGCAGAGGCGCTGGCGATGGAAGAAGACCAGTATCAATCCGCCTAGACATGCCGCCTAGCACCACTTAGACCACCTAAAGCGCCTAACGAGCGCCTAGCTCCTCATCGATTTTGTAAACGATTTTCTCTAAATCGTATCGAACAACCACCACTCAGCACCTAGGCACCGCCTAGGCTGCTTTTTTAACACTGGGAAAACATTGGTATCCATTACTTCCAAACACCGAGAAATTGGAGAAAAAAATTTCTTAGACGAACAAAGGTCAGGAGATTTTATGTAAACTCTCAGTGTGATCCCTAAAAGATAAATATGAATATAGAAGTTTAAATAATGCAACAAACGCAAGATTAAATAATTATCGATGTCATCGAAATCACTAAAACAATGAAAAATATGAAGTCATGTGAAGCTTCCGAAACATCGATTTTGTGTTTCATTCGTTAAAAACAATTTTTCTCAATCAACATATTTGTAGTTTCATTGGTTAGGATTTTTTAAAACATGTTTGTAGCTTCCTAAACATCACAATATAATATAAAATTGATAATAAATCCCTTGGTTTATATTTTCCTTGCACTTGCTTTGACTAATGCCGTACTACTACGTCAATGTTTGTACGACATTGACTAAGTCAATGTTTGTATAACGTTGGTAATTGGCACACAAAACTAGCAGAATGTAGAAACATCACACTCATGGTAACATGGTAAAATAATGAGTATATTCGCCACATTAAGAATCTTGCATGTTAACAAAAAGAAGCTCGTAAAATAACATTCCAAATCTCGTGAATGATTTTGGCATTTGTGTCAGTTGCTTTTCACGTTGTTGGTAATTGTTGATTAAAAATATATATATTTCTGACATGCAAGACATTACACGTTACGAGATTTTTTTACCGTGCTTAAAAACATTTGTAACTTGAAATTCTCCTAGACATTTAAGGGTGAATTGATTTTTAAATTTGAAGTTTTAACGAAATATTTTCGGTATTGTTCATTTTTAACGAAAAAGCACATTTTTATATTTTTTTAGTACTATTTACTATATTTTTATTTGTCATTTTCATTAAATCAAAACTTTTTTTGGACTTTGAGATAGTTTTCCTTTTTAAATTTCTATTCAAAATTGAATCCGACCAGATCTTAGTGTCCAGAGCCTAGAGATCAATTCATCTGGACTGCACAAATTCAATCCAACAGTTCCTATTAACTCATTTTTCTGGCTCACCACACAAAACCAACAGCTCTAATTTCTTTTACATAAAAATCAGCGGCCCAGATAATTTGATCCCTAAACTCCAGACACTAAGGTCTGGAGCGGATCCAATTCCTTTCTGTTCAACATTTTATATTAAAAAAAATTAGGCCAAAACACAAGCTTGGTAATAACAATTGTCTTAGTAAGATCCAAGAAATTGACCCTGACAAGATTAAGAAATGACTCAATGATTGCCAAAACAAAAAAGGGTGCGAGCTTGAAGTCTGTAACTCCTCTTTTGCTCTGTAATGGCGTTTTCTCATCTCTCTCACTCTTGTTTTATGCTTTAATGGCTACTCGAAGTCTGTAAACCAAAATCCACCTGGGAATAGCACCTGGAAGTTGCAACCAAGGTAAATACACTAACAAATTTTGCTTCTTTTCCCATGTTATTTTACAATCTTTGTGTAAATTAATATATATATATATATATATATATCCTGGGTGTTCTTTGACTGTCATGGATTCAATGGAGTTCTGGGTTTTTGTTCATTTTTGGTGTGAAGCTCTGGATTTGATCCATTCAACTTGTTCATCTTCTGTGTTGGAATTCTGGGCGGTGCACTTGTTTCACTTGAATGCTTTTTTAGTGTTTTATACTTGATGATAAGCTTTTTAATTGGGGATTGCATATTGGTGTTTAGTTATTCTGGGAATTTTCCCTGGTAAGTTGGTAGCAATTCAAAAGCAGAATCTTCAGATTTCTAACATTGATATCTGTTTTGGATCTTGTCCAGCAGGGCTAAAGTTTCAAACTTTAAATTATAGAGGGGAAGGATTGAAAAGAATCTAGTGGAGAGGTGAATTGGTGGAAGGGAAGTAGAGTCCTTTGAATCATCGGGTTTCGAATGGCTGCAAGAATGGCAACTGATGAAAGCACTGATACGAATGGTAACGTTTGGGTTTTGGATCAGCAGCTTGATCAGCCCATGGATGAGGAGGCTAAAAGGTTGAGAAATATGTACAAGGAAAAGGTATTATCTCACTCCTTCACCCCTGTTCTGCAGTGGAACTGTTTGAAAACCGAATTCACCAGTACAAATAGAAATTCGACCTTGAACTTTCGAAATCTAGCAGTCCAGCAATTGGTTGGTTTGTTCATAATCAATTCATTAATGTCTTCAGAGATTTGTTGTTGATATTAACTTTTCGTACTATACGGTTGAAACGATTCCTTTATGTAACCTTGAAGGTATTCTGCTATTTCTGAACTATATTTGCTCTTGTTGCTGATCACTTCTTTTCTTATTCTTCCAGAAATTTTCAGCATTATTGCTTGTGCAGCTTGCATTTCAAAGCCTTGGTGTGGTATATGGAGATTTAGGAACATCTCCTTTGTATGTTTTCTACAATACATTTCCTGATGGAATTGGTGACCCGGAGGATTTAATTGGAGCTTTATCTGTTATTATCTACTCCCTCACTCTTATTCCACTCCTGAAGTACGTTTTTATTGTTTGTAGAGCAAATGACAATGGTCAAGGTATCGATATATAAGCTCTTCCTTCCCCTCCCCACCTTTGTAATGTTACCGTATTACCTTGAACGCTGTGCTCAGATCATTAATCAAAAGTATCTATGTTTTGATTATTCACTGATAGAGACAATAACATCGAGAGCTATAGATGCTGTTCTTCCGGGTTTTAGTTCATGTAAATTTATCCTCCCCATGGTTGCAGGTGGAACGTTTGCTCTATATTCACTACTCTGTCGATATGCAAAAATAAAGGCTATTCCTAACCAAGACCAAACGGATGAGGCACTAACAACATATAGTCGTTCTTCGTTTGGTCAGAAATCATTTGCTGCAAGAACCAGGAAATGGTTGGAGGGGCATGCATTTATGCAGAGCACGCTTCTTATTCTTGTCCTAGTTGGCTCTTGCATGGTGATTGGGGACGGGATTCTGACTCCAGCCATATCAGGTGCGCAGCTTCATTGTTGATATTGTAGGATCATTCTTCTGTTTAAATATCCTCATTGGTAATTTTCGTGATCATGTAGTTTTGTTTTATGGATATCCCAACACTTTCAACCTGCGTGATTAGTTCCTGTAGGCGTAACTTGTAAGGGAAGCATATTGCAATCCCTTATACTCTAACCAATCTTAATTGAGAAACTATTTTTTTAAATGGTAAAAGCTACTTCCTGGAAAGCATTTAGACTAGGTTAGAACATTAAAATACTCTACAGTTTATGATAACTCCCGCTGTGGCGAGTATGATTCTTTGTCAGTTCTATTGGAAGCTCTTAATCATATTCTGTTTGATAAGTATACTTAACGCTTAACCCTGTTATCGTTTGCAGTTCTGTCAGCAGTTGGTGGGATCAATGTAGGCCACTCCAAGATTAGTAATGGTATCTCCATACTCTTGGACATAAAGATACTGTTTCATTTGCTTCACCATGTTTGTTACTCATTGATCATTGTTTCCAAATCTAATCATAACTACTCGTTTGTTATACAGAGGTAGTCGTGCTTGTTGCTGTTGTTATACTGATACTTTTGTTTAGTATGCAAAGCTATGGGACAGATAAAGTCGGTTGGCTGTTTGCACCAATCGTTTTTATTTGGTTTCTCGTAATTGGAGGAATTGGCATGTTCAATGTTTGGAAGTATGATAGTAGGGTTTTAAAAGCCTTTTCACCTGTATATGTATATCGATTTTTCAAGAGGGGAGGAAAAGATGGGTGGACTTCCCTTGGAGGTATTATGCTTAGTATAACAGGTAAAATTTCGATATTCCATCCTTTTTTATTTGTGAAATTCAAGCAAGTTTGTGACATAGTCCCTGAAGACTGGTTGTGAACACTTACAGGTACTGAAGCACTTTTTGCTGACCTATCCCACTTCCCAGTCCCGTCCGTGCAACTTGCTTTCACATTGGTTGTATTTCCTTGTCTTCTATTAGCCTACAGTGGTCAAGCAGCATACCTTACAAAACATCCACACAACGTGATTGGTGCTTTTTATCATTCCATTCCAGGTTTGTTTGATTTCTTTAACTACAAAATATAACATTTAGGTTTTGGGTGTTTATTTTGCCAAAACTGATACCAGCTCAATATGTCTGAGAGATACCATGATACTCAAATTTCACGTAAAGTAGAAATCAGTTATTTAAGAAAACCCGTTATAAACTTTACATATATCATCAGAGTGGCATGAATGCCCTGGCTTTTCGGTAATGCGTTGCGGAAAGGTTCTGATTAATCGTTCTTGCAGACAAAATATATTGGCCTGTGTTTATTGTTGCAACTGGAGCTGCTGTCGTTGCAAGTCAAGCCACCATAACTGCAACTTTTTCATTAATCAAGCAGGCACTTGCATTAGGCTGTTTCCCAAGATGTAAAGTCGTGCATACATCAAGGAAATACCGTCACCAGATATATATTCCAGAAATTAATTGGATTGTTATGATTCTCTGCATTGCCGTGACAGCTGGGTTTAAAAATCAAAACCAAATTGGGAATGCCTCTGGTAAGTTTAATTGGATGTAGCTTGTATTATACACATCTTCCTATGTTAAAACATAATTTCATGAAATTTTCATTGTTTTATCCATCCATGAAAAGACATCGACTTCAGTTAGTATGAAATTTTTGGTATAGCATTGGTGAAGAAAGAATTTTCCTCCATATCATGCCATCTTTAAATTCTATGAAAATTTTATAGTGTTAGGAAATCTATGATGGCAATAAGGATTCAGGGTAACCATTTCTCTTCTCAAAATTATATTCTCACTGTTACTTGTCGTATCTCATTTCAAGCTTCTTGGTTGAAATTAAGATTGCACCAACTAACAAAATCTTACGCGTTGCAACAGGGACGGCAGTTTGTATAGTCATGCTGGTAACCACATTGCTTATGATTTTAGTCATGATATTGGTGTGGCGCTGCCATTGGATTCTTGTCCTGATCTTCACTGGCTTATCATTGGTTGTGGAGGGCACTTACTTTTCTGCTGTACTTCTCAAGGTCAATCAAGGCGGCTGGGTTCCTCTTGTGATCGCAGCAGCCTTCTTTATCATCATGTATGTTTGGCATTATGGTACAGTTAAACGCTATGAGATGGAGATGCACAGTAAGGTTTCAATGGCATGGATTCTTGGACTTGGTCCCAGTCTAGGACTGGTTCGTGTACCTGGGATAGGCCTTGTATACACGGAGCTAGCAAGTGGAGTGCCCCGGATCTTCTCTCATTTTATCACCAACTTACCGGCCATCCATTCTGTTGTCATCTTTGTCTGCGTGAAGTACCTTCCTGTCTTCACGGTCCCAGAAGAAGAGCGGTTCCTTGTAAAGCGGATTGGACCCAAGAGTTTCCACATGTTCCGTTGTGTTGCAAGGTATGGCTATAAAGACTACCACAAAAAGGATGATGATTTTGAGAACAAGCTCTTTCACAACCTATTCGCGTATGTCCGGCTTGAGTCCCTGATGGAAGCGTCTTCAGACTCTGACTTATCTAGTTTACTTGAGCAACAAACTAATCAGCCAGCAGATTGCGAGTTGAGCAATGTCAGCAATATGCACCACTCCAATCAAGTAGACCTGTCAATTGCATCAGTGGACTCGATCATGCCTGATGATTCTCCATCGCATGCAAACAACCCGACCTCCTTCATTCCGGCAAGCAGCCAGGCCGAGGCTGATGAGATAGAATTCTTGAACAACTGTAGAGATGCAGGAGTGGTGCACATACTAGGAAATACTGTCATAAAAGCCAGGAGGGAATCAAAACTATTGAAGAAGATCGCTATTGACTACCTATACGCATTTCTTAGGAAGGTGTGCAGGGAAAACAGTGTAATGTTCAACGTTCCTCACGAGAGTCTCTTGAATGTCGGGCAGGTTTTCTACGTATAGCATCTGCGCCAATGTTGTAAACTTCTAACACTTCAAGCTTACATATTGTCATCCATTTCAGTTCACTGTAAGTTGTGGACCGAAATCTAAGTCCCTCCCACCGGGAGATTTTTCAGCCAAATTTGTTTCAGTAACGAGTTTTCTGCTGTACTCCTCAAGGTCCATCTATTGTTTCATATTACTTCAAGTCTTCAATGGTGGACAAATAGATTAAGCAGTGTGATTTTGTGCTTGTTTATTTGTCTTCAACATTCCACTTCGAATGCTTCTGCTATATATCAGCACAGAAATTATATACACAAGTAGAAGGAAGAAAACAGGAGGAAACAGAAGGCAATTAAATTTAAAACAAACATTTAACAAGAGTAAACGAAAAAAGGTCTAGTAAAATTCAATCCGAGATGGATATTTGCTCCCGCAATGGTGTCAAATGACTCGAATCTTTTTCATAGGTGGATAATAGTTTATATCTTTGTCGTAGGTAGATAATTAATGATATTAAATATTATCATCATTAAGTAGAAAAGTGCTACAAGTTGATAACAATATTAATATTTCCTTGAAATGTCGAAAGAGGTCTTAAGTTCGAGCAAGGTTTCTTAATTGATTCACAAGGGAGTCGGGACCATATGTTTCTCTATCGTAATGCAACAATAGGAGTCGAATATTATTGTCAAGGTCACTCTAATGTTTATTTAACTCGCTAATTAGTAATCAATGTTGGGCAAGATTTCAAGTTCAAATTCCCCCTCCGTTGATAATACGAAAACGGAAAAATAAGGAGGGGGTGATGGGTTCAAATTGGATAGGTCCAGGGTTCGAAACTCTCAAAAGTAACCAAAAGGTTAAAAATCATATATACATGCGTCACAGTATTCTGCTGCACAAAAAGTCTAATATTCAGGCAACTAATTGTGCCTCCTCACTTTCAGGGACAACAATGTCAAGCCTCATCATGGGTTTATATTTCTCAGGGATCTGTGCACCTGCCTGCAAGCAAACCTCTACAACTGCCGGAGCCTTCCCGTAGAACTTCTTGAGTGCACCGCCCTTCAAAGGAGGTCCTTTGGGGTCTTCGACATGCCATACGTAATTTGGAGGGAAAACTTCATCCACGGTAGCATCCTGCCAGCCATGCTTCCCATCCCTCCATTGGTGCTTGAATTCCCCACAAAGCTTTGCATTGTGACCCCAAGGTCCCACGTGAACCTCGGAGCAATACCCGCATGCCTTCACTGTGTATTTATCCATCAGCTTCGTCACCCCCAACTTAACAGTTTCATATGCATCCATTGTCTCCTGTGCAATCTTGGGAATATCTGATGGTGGTGGAGGTGGAAACCGCCCACAAGCCCCATGTGTATCGAGATCAATAAGTGATGATGGATTTGCAGAGATCCCTGGTTGAGGCTCCTCAATCAATCCACCTCGATCGATCACTTTCCTTCCAATCATACGGATGGGTTTGGTTCTTCGACGTGAAGGGTACTCAGGGATCTCAACACCAGCTTGGATGCACAGCTCCACAACAGCTGGAATCCTGTCGTATTGAAATCTAGTTTCATGCTTAATGCGCCGACCAAAAGGGTCATAGAGATGATATGCCTCGATGGGTACAAGCACGTCATTGACAGAACCCTTGATCCAGGAGTGGAAGCTCCGGCGTTTAGCACTGGTTGCACCAAGACAGTCCTGTATGTGATGACCAGAGTGGCTCACATGAACCTCAGAGCATTCACTGCAGAAAGAATTGAAGCATTTTATCGTTCCAAGTAAAACCTAGGTTTCTCAGAGGTTAGTACACAGCTATTTACAGCCGCATCATAAATTTTGATGGATGGCCACATCATACAAATAAAGCATACTTACGTGCAAGCGTATACCGGAATAACGTGCAACAGCTGCGCAATGCCTTTAATTAAAATTTTCCAGGAATCTAGTACATGGTGAGCAACGGGAATCAGATCAGGGGCAAGTAATCCATTTTTTGGAGGTTCGAGGGGCTTCTCTATACCCAATTCTGCAAGTTTTTTGTCCTCCTTTGCGGCCTGCTTGATCTTATTTAAGGGAATAGGATACGGTTTCTTCTTATTCTTAGGTAGTACAGGTGGAAGATCCACATTTTGGGGATATGCTTCTCTCTTCCTGTAAGTTGGTTCTACTCTGGTCTTTCTACTGGCAGAAAAGATGGTTCCAAATATACTTCCTCCTTTATGAAGCTTTCCATGCTCAAACTACATTGTGAATAAAACTTAAGCATTAGGTCTCAGGATGAAACTCAAACACATGACTGCTTATATGAATTTACAAATTAAGTAGGACGATATTCTCAAAGCAGCCATACTGTCAAATTACAGTAGCCTTAGAGTGTAACACCACTAGGAACACTTGTAAGAAGCTAATTGATTAGTTGTGAGAATCCCGAAGATATGCGTGGGAACATAAATGGTTATAACAGAGTTTCTATTATCAGTATCGAGTTATTAACGGCAACTTTAGGAGGAATCCTTTCAATACTTTTTCATCCCTTTTTCTTTGCATTCATTTATTTTCTTTAAAAAATTTCAGTCTCATATGGAAACAGATGATTCTGCCTCAGTAGTGGGCAACCAAATAGTATGATTGAAAATCACAAAGTTGAGCACTTGTCAAGACTCAAAATTCAAAACACAAGAAAATTTACAGTATTCAGATAGGGGTGTGCTATCCACACACACATTTTTACTTCTCACACACCCCTTGTTAATTTATGTCCGTTGATCTTCTTCAACTCATCCGATCCGACGGCCGAAAACCAAAAAGGTGTGGGAGAAGTAAAAAGGGGTGTGTGGATATCACACCCCTTCAGATATTCATAACCATTTCAAGGAGACAGACAATCCACAAATCGGAACCAACGCTGGGTAAGTCTGATAATTGACATTAGCATTCATATGTTCCATGCTATGATTAGGAATTAATTGGCTCTAAATTGAGCTTACGCATAGCAAGCTCAACTAAAAAGCTTACAGCAATGGTTAAGGAACTGGGTACGGACTTTTGCATAATATTTCTCCAAGTCATATGTTATGCATACTTGTAGCACAGTTCCACAATAACGAACAAACAAACAAGACAGAAAATAAAAGATAGAATCAAACCTTCAACCCAAGACCATACGATGTTGCAGCTGATAACTGAGGCTGCTTGAACTCAATGGTACAGAGGCAAGCACCTACAAAGTTAAGCAAAACCAATACATGTTATTCGTAAACTTGTTTCTAAAAATAAAAAATCGAAGATCGAAAATGAAAGAAGAACTCGATCACCTTTCGGATATGACTCCCACAAAGCAGAGGATGCTATTGGAGGATTCTGGAACATCTAGCTAATATTATTACGAGTCTGCAGTCTCCTAATAAAACCAGTTACCCAATTATTAACATGGCATTTCAATTCCAATATGTAACAGCTGAGACAAAATTGCTAATGAGTGCACAATGATACAAATACAATAAAAAAAACATGGGTATTCAACCAAAAAGGAAAAATATTTCCACCAGCACAGCACCCCCGCCCAAATCCCACTTTTTTTTTTCTTGGTTAAAGCCAAAGCTAATGAAATGGTGTTGCTTTTGGACTGTAGAATTTACAGAACCCATCAAATTAATGTTGGATGGGTTCTCTGAGGCCTTTCGTCAAACACTTTGCGTGCACAGCAGACGACGGCCGGATAAACACAACGCAATTCAAAACTTTGAAGCAGGCATGCGCCCGCGAGAGAAAGAGCTTACCTTTCAGCAATTTTGAGAACACGACACTGCGAGTCTGCTGCTGTCAAGAGTTCGTGGGTGGCTGTTGTTCTTCAATTAACGGTATTATTTACAGCAAGCTTCTCCTTCATTATCTATTGATGGAAAGGACATAGTTGTAAATAACGCGCCAATACGAGGGCATATATAGGAAATTTATTATTAATTTTCGTTGGATGGTTTCTAGACCACGAGTATCGTGTATAAGCAAACAATTCAACAATGAGATAATGCACTCACAACAAGGTCACATTATTACAATAGAATTAGCCGTATTTAGGCGTCAAATTCAAGAAAAACGATCATCATTGACTCATTGCACTCGGTAAATCAAAATTGATATCTCGTCCAACCAAGTACAAACAATTACCGAGAAATCTAAAGCTACATGATTTTTTTTTTTTTTTTAACTCCCATGTTTAAGTGTTTTGTTCTTAGTTTTCAACAAGGAAAACTTACTCAATCTTATCAACAAAGCGAATAAGAAAGATTTAAGAGATGGATTAATCTTGAACCAAATGATAAATTAAGTTATTAACATGTCCAGCTAAACCCTAATCCTAACATGATGAGAATCCGAACTCCACATGTATTTATTGACATGAAAGTAATTAGCTTTACCACGTTATGTTTTATATACAAGCAATGTCAAGAAAAGATGATTTAAACACAAGATCGTAAGTCTTTAAAAGAGGAGGAGTCAAACATAAAATCTCAAGCACACAACTTTAACATGTTAAAATGTGGGCAAAATACTTTAGAATGTGACCTTTTTATTTTTTTTCTAACCAGTATCATTGTCACATTATGTAAAGAGAACGGCTTGGCTCTTTAAGATTGAGATTTATGAAACTTTGTGTTTATATTCGAACCATTCGTATTATAAATCATTCTGCAAAAATTATATCTGCAAAAAAATCAATTCAAAATAAGATTGTTTTGCCAATCAACTGTACTCTATAGATAGACTATTCGTAATTCTTTTACCAAATCCGTCTATATATTTTCATATGTTCGTTGACTATACAATCTCATATTTTATTGATTTTCTGCAATGATGATCTTTACAAAGTAAATTTATAATATGAACAGTTTCAATCATGAGCACAAAATTTCGTTAGTATCTTGAGAAAGAACTCCTCAATCTTGAGCAGCCAAAGTCAAAAACCAAAGTGACCTTTGAAGTAGATGATCAAATGAACAGGAAACCATTGTCTTTCACTACTATCTTTTTTTTTTTTTTTTTTTTTTTTTTTTTTTGGTTTATTTCATTGAATTTTGAGCTTTCAAACAAAAGGAAAAATAAAAGTTTGTATTTCACTATGAACACAAATAAATTGATTTACGTATAAAACCCAATTCTTCCCGTTTTATGCACCAAAAACACAATCACTCCGTTCCGTTCTGTAAAATAGTTGGTTGGGAGCCCTTCTCCCTATTCATATAATACACACAACCTATATGGGGTATAAATAATTTATAATAATCGGCTCTCGTGCTTTAGCCGAGATTGCACAAGGGAATCATCGTCGAACTCTGCTACTTGGGGACCTGGTTCTGTGGCTGAACCGGTGGTTTAGTAGGACGGCAAGCTGCAGTCATCACCCTCAAGCGTTTGGTTATTTCTGTAAACGACGGGCGAGCAACAGGATCCGCGGCCCAGCATTGCTCCATTAGCAACTTCCATTCAGAATCACAAAAGGGTGGCACATGTGGCCTCAATGTGTTATTCACAATGCCTCCTGCAAGTAATCAAGTGTCAGTATTTCCGGTTTTCTCTTTCAATCTCGGCTCCATACACACGAAAAATCAGCACGTCAGCAATGAACACACGCTAAATCACCAGGACTAATAAACAAGATATTATATGTGCTTGAATATCGGACTGAAGCCCAGTAAGACCATGAAGAGAGAACTTAGCGTACACACCTATGATTGCTCCGTAATGCATATTGGCATAAGGCTCCTCACCGGTTAGAATCTCCCATAAGACAATACCAAAGGAGAATACATCAACCTGTCAAAAGGCATAAAGTGGTTCAATGACGTTGCATCAACGTGTGTGAAAAAGAAAATCAGCTGAAACTGTGTGGTAGTAACATTCTTTTTCTGCCAGTAAGCATTAGATATGAATTGTACCATCCTACCTTTTCAGAAACCTTACTGCTGCCACCATTAAGAAGCTCCGGAGCCATCCATGGTAGGGTACCCCTAACACCACCAGTGACCAAGGTATTTCTTTTGATTTTTGACAATCCAAAATCTGCTACCTGCAAAATTATATAATTCTCTGCTAAATACAATGTTTGATTTTGGAACATAATAACAGTTTGGCAAAGAAGAAAGGACGATAAAAAAGACCCACATAATAAGCTCGATTCCATCATGAATTCCTGATCAACTATAGAATCTTATATAGACAACAAGAATTATACAAATACCTTGCAAATGGGTCGTTGAGGGTCTTTCAAGTTTACAAGCAAATTGTCGCATTTCAAATCAAAGTGCACTATGTTTTTTGAATGTAGGTATTCCATTCCAAATGCTGCATCCATCGCAATAATGAGCCTCTTACGACGATCAAGATGTCTGGGAATTCACAAAACCAATATAAGATAAAGATTGAAGTGCCTGGTACACTGGTAAGGATTACATCATTGACGTAACTAAAGAGAACAGTATTACCTTTCCTTGCTAAGTAAAACATGCCTCAGAGAGCCATTCACCATGAACTCGGCCACTGTGGCTAGTGTTCCTCCTGGTCCATTCTGGACAACGCCATAAAATGCCACCACATTTGGATGGTGAAGCTTCGAAAGAATTTCAGCTTCGCGCCAGAACTCAACAGTCTGAACAGGGGGAAAGAAAAGAAAAAAAGAAGAGGATCAATGGTTATTGTTATTGACATGTCACATGATGACAAGTTAATGAGCACAATGCTGTAGGTGAATGCTACCCTCCACCAGCCAGCACCGAGAGGTTACTGTAAATATCTGATATAACGATTACTACCAGACTAGATGATGGAGGGATGACAGCCATCTGAGTTTGAATCGATGGATTGTTTATAGCCTTCATTTTGTATAATATCATAATAGAAATATTCTTCACGTTTGACTGGAAAAACATATTCACCTAACATGACTCACTTGACCTCTAGCTTAGTGAACTATTGAACAAAAAAACTATCTGTTCCGACTCACCAGTCTTTCTTGCTCTGATGAACGCCCTGTGAAACAGCTCTTTTTTATCCGCTTAATGGCCACATCTGTTCCCCTCCATTTTCCATGATAAACAGTTCCAAATGTGCCAGAACCCAATTCCCTAAGCTCTTCAAGATCTTCATTCTCTATGATCTGCAATGAAATACATAGATGGCCAACAAGAGAATTAACAGACTTCAAAAATCTCCAATTTGCACAACTGAACAAGGTGCAGATGATATTAATAAGGGATAAACGTATGTGTCTGTCACTACATGATGAATACACGGCAAGATGTTCCATCAATCAATTTTGCTGTGCAAAAGTTGGGATATGTGATATTAGCATGACAATGAAGCTTCTACTAAACAAATCAAAGTAAAAAAAAATAACTAGGATTCATGTAGCATAGAAACAAGGCAGAGCTGGTATGCAATACATTCTATTAGGCAGTCATTTAGGTTTAACAGTTGTAAGATTAGAGGTGGCAAGATGCCAAAAATGGTATGAAGAAATAAAACTGTAAGTTAGTAATGGCAGTGCCATGGTAGTTAGGGAATTATAATACTATATATTCTGATGTTTGAGGGATTAGTGGCTTCCATAAAATAGAACTACAGAAAAGGAACATGGTGGGAGTGTCAACACTGCTAATAAGCAGGCTGTGCAGGCAGAATTCTATAGTGGAAAGGCAAAATTTTACTTCCAAATACAACCCAAGTACTACTAGTTTTACTCAAATACTTCCTTGACTTTAATTGAACAAGGATCCTAAAAATTCTTATAGTTGGAAGAACAGAAAGTAAAGAAAAACAGATCTGTATAGTTTATTGATTGGTTAAAACGAAGACCACTAGTTAACGTTTCCATAATGCAGATTGAAATTGTAATAGGTAAATTATCTTACCTGCAAGGTAGTAATATCAAATTCTTCCAAAGGAATATCGACAAGAGGTACACCTGTGTTCTGAATATTTAGCTCACCATCCTACAAGAAAGAGCAATAGAAAATTGGTCAGAGGCAATCAATATGATAAGTTGATAACAGTGTGATTTACTAGTAAAAGATACAGAAGAAATACCTCATACTCTGATTCTCTTACTCCATGATTTACCCCATCCAGCTGCTCACTTTCAATTCCCCTTAGTGGCGTAGGATTGTAATCTGAACCTAAATTCACTTTGTTTGGTCCAGCTAAAGCAGGCAAACCTTGACGAATATCTTCATCAAAATTTATTTGGGAATCAGTGTGACCAAAAACAACTCCATCAGACTTCAAAGGTGGAAAGCTGTAATCTACTGGAGCTCCTGATCCAATATCAGTCGGTGGGGATGAGAAACCCAGATGGTCCTGATCCATAAGGGAAACATCTTTTCTTACAAATTCATTCTGAGCCAAATTTCGGAAATACGACCAATGCTTAGGCTCGGGATTCTCCATGTTCAAGCTCAAGCCAGTTCCATCGCCAGGAAGTGGAGGAAGATCAGAAAGATCCCCTGAGATTCTAGCTTTAGAAAATATATCAGACAGGAAGTCACGCGGAAAGCGGTCATTAATATCAATGAGAATGTCTCCCTGCTCCGGAGTGCCGGCACCAGCAGCAGACTCCCCATGAGCAACACCTTTGGCTGGGTTCTCTGCCCTAGCCAATGGTTGTCCATGACCCTTGGCATTATTCTCATTGTCCTTATTGGCAGCAATCTCAGACCATTTAAATTCTGGTTGAACTGAAGCAGAATCATGTGTAAGCTTCCCAAATGTTTCCCGATCAGCAGTTTGTTGTGCCAGCGCGGCCGCTGCTTTATCATTGCTACTTGGGTCTTTGTAGTTATCTTTTGGCCAGCCCATTTCCTGATCCAATTTTTGTACCTTTGACTCAAGCCCCTCATCATAAGCATCAGCACTCATTTTACTAATATTTTCAGCAAATGCCAG